AATACTAATATTAATATTAATAATAATACTATTATACTAATGCTAATGTTAATACTAATATGCAATATGTTAATATGATACTAATGCTAATGCTAATATGTTTAATACTAATGCTAATATTAATATGCTAATGCTAATATTAATACTAACGCTATTGCTAATGCTAATGCTAATGCTAATGTTAATGTAATGCTAATGCTAATGCTAATGTTAATGCTAATACGAATTTTAATGCTAATGCAAATGTTAATGTCAATGCTAATACTAATATCAATGTTAATGTTAATTATGATAATCCTAATAATAATGCTAATCTTAAATTAATTTCCATTAAAATAATTTATTAGGTTTTATTTTTCTAAATTAGTTCATTACATTTTTTTAGGATTGGTTGTAGTTAAATATTGTAATTTATTATAAATAAATTTTTTAGTATAATTATTTAAATTTTGCGTAATACTAATTAAATAGTGAGAATTTACGTTGCTTATATCATTATCGAAAATGATAACATATTTTTGATTTGAGATGAAATATATTATAATGCAATCGATTTTAGTTGAATGATTAAATATAAAAAAAAAATTAACATCGATGTAATATAATGCATGGAAGTAAAATTTACGTTAGTGTTTCAATCTATTAAATGACAAAATATTTGCCATAATATAATAGAATATACATGTGATGATCCGCAAAATACATAATGTGAGTTGATAACATTACATATCATTAGATCTTACAGATAATGGTGTAAGATTGAACACCTTAAATAATATGACGGCTACGTGATAAAATATGTCAACAAATGAACAAATATTTCCATATTTAAATTGATATATCAATGAAAATAATGTCTTCTAGAGAAAAAAAGGTAAAAAAACACAGGCAACCAAAAAATATAAGCATTGTTAGCGGCGGAAATCGGACGGAATGGATCGGAAATTGCTTTTCGAAAATATTTCCATTTTTCGGAAATAAAAAATGGGTTCCAATTTTCTTTCCAAGAAAAAAATCGGAATGCAAAAATTCATTCCGACTTCGAAAACGGCCGAATTTTGTAAATTTTGGAAATTACATTATTTATAATATCTTGTTCCAAATTCGAATACAATGGAAATTTTCACAATATTTTTCTACGTGTTTTAGAATTTTGCAGGAAAATGCAAGAAAATCCAAAGGAGAGTTCGAAAGAAAAAACAACAAATAAAACCACATGTTGGCACTGCAAATTGAATTATAGTTTTCTAATAAAGTGCAATAGAGAGCTTCTGATACCAATTAATATTTTATAAGGTTTTAATTTACTTGACCCTTCAATATTTATATTTTCATATAAAATATAATATAAGTTATATTATGGAATTACAAAATATAGCATAAAATTATATTATATTAATAAACATCAAATCTTGTAAATTTCTCAGATTCATAGATTGACATCATATTCATCTGGCAAAAAATAAATATATAATATTAATAGATTAGAAAGAATTTATCCGATTGAAAGCAATCAAACGAAAATAACAGTAGTATAGGAGTGACAATTACACACATATGGTGAGTAAAAAAACCGAAAAATTGTAACACTACTAAAGAAACAACAATGGTTTACAAAGAGTTTGTGAGATTTTGGTGAAATATAAGGGCTTTTTATAGTATTTTGAGAAAGATAGGAAAAAGGAAAGTAATTAATGATAGCAATAATATAAATTTGTCTTGTAAATGATTTGACTGTGATATTATTGAATTAGTATATGAATCCGGATTTTAGTGTTACCATAAATTAAGTAATTTAGAAATTTCAAAAATGTGAATGAAATATGAAATCCGTGAAATATAGTAATTAAAAACGTGTGAAATGTGGAAATTACTATAATTGTGTAAACATAGTATTAGTGTATTTAAATTCAGGGGTAATATGCTATGAGTCCCTCATATGAAACCTAACTTAAACTAAATGACGAATTCAAATCCATTTTTTTTAATTAAATCCTTAGATTGAAATAATATATGATCCACATCCTTAATTTTTTTAATCCGTATCTTACCCTTACATCCTAAATCTTATAACCCACATATTCACGTTTCTCTTTCAGATTTATTTTTCCACTTTTATTCTTCTTCTCTCTCTCCCTCTCCGACTCTCTCTATCTCGCTCTCTCTGTGTCTCTCTCAGTCTCGCTCTCTCATTTATTTCTCTCGGTCTCAAGCTATCTCTCTCGTCACCACTCCATCCCATGATTTGACGGGATGTGGTGGCTATGACGATGGAATCGACTATGGCGCTGGAGGCGGTGGCATGCGGAGAGAGATGGCGATGGCTGCTCTGGGGGAGGCGCTCGTGGTGACCCGATGTTGGTCATGGGGATGTTGGGCGGCGGCGCTCGGGGCTGGGATGGTGTCGGTGGTGCTCGACGTTGGTGGTGGGATGGGGGGCAATGGTTGCGTGGGTGGGGTTTGTGGCACCTTTAGCGGCGTGGTGATTTTGGCATCTCAGATCTAGGGTTTGGTGGAGGAGATCTACGGTTTGGTGGGGCGGATCTAAGATTTTTCGATTTCATGTCTATAGATATTTATGGGTGTCTATGATGTCTGGCGGCTATGGTTCAAAGAGGAATTAGGGTTTTAAGAATATGTGACTACGGATTACTATAGTTTCCTACGAGTGTCTATACATGACTACGGACTATACTACGATATCCATATCCTATGGGTTTCTATAGAAAACTACAGCCGAAAAAAATTAAAATATCATAATTTTCAATATTATGTAGAAAAAAAGGAAAAAATACGAGATTGCAAAAAAAAAAATTCTACAAAAAAAATAATAACAGAAATGCTAGATGCGAAAAAAAAATATTAAATGCAGATGAAAAATGATAAATACAGTTTAAATATTACTTGGTGCAGATTTCATTTTTTGTACGTGGGGGCATTTTTGGAATAAAATTTATAAAGGATGTGAAGCAAAAGTTTAATTAGACTTGTCATTTAGTTCTAATAAGTTTTGTCACCAGAGACCTATATCTTAATCCCCCTTAAATTAATGGCTTAAATGTGAATAAATGTGTTATAAAATGCAAGTAAACTCAATTGAAATAGAAGCAATGCAAGAAATCTAGGGTTAAAATTGAAGATGTGAAAACATCAATTGTGTACCTTGACTTTATATATTATATAGATATAGATCTAGACTCATATGCAATATAAGCACAATTTAGTATATACATTTGAAGATAGAGGACACAAATATTACCAGCTTAATTCCACTTTCACTCTTGAACTATATTATTTTGTCACTTTATACCTACATAAAAATGTGATAGCATTTTACATCGTTAAAACAAAATAAATTATTGAAATTGCACCCCGAACTGAAATTCTAATTATTTTATAGTATGAGACAACTGCATCTTTTCAATGGTATTTTTTCTTTTTTCTTTCTTTCTTTTTTTTTTTTTTTTTTTTTTTTTTTGCAATTGTTGAAGACTACTACAAATAGCTAAAATAATTATAGAACAAAATAAAAACAATGTTCACTAAATTAATAAAGCTAACTTTTTTTCTAAAAAAAAAAAGAGAAAAGAAAAAATCTCATATTTGCTTCTTAACAAATTATTCGATCGGTATATCTAGGGCTGAAAGTCGGAAGGATCGGATCGGAATTAGTCTTTTCGGAATATTTCCAAAAAAATTCGGAAGTACAAAATCAATTCCAATTCCAATTCCAAAATTTTCGGAATCTAAAAATTCATTCCAATTCCAAAAGGCCCGGAAATTTCGGAATTTCGGAAATTTTTCGGAAATGACATAAGTATTAAAATTTCGAAACTTCGCTAAAAATTTCATAATTTGCTAAAAATAAAAACATCCATGTCGACAAAAATAACTACTAAATTTCAATTCAAAAAATAAATAAAAATAAACGACATCATAATATCCAATAAAACTTCTAGCAAAAATCAAATAGACTCTTTGGCTTTGCACAAGAAATAATAAACGTAAAACTAGTGTTTTACATAAAATAAACTAGGGTTTTTTTAGGTGACATGGCCCATAAAGAATAAATACAACTAAATAATGTAAAATAAGTATAATATAATATAATATATATATATATATATATATATATATATATATATATATATATATATATATATATATATATATATATATATATATATATATATATATATATATATATATATATATATATATATATATATATATATAAAAATCGGAATTTTTTCGGAAATAATCGGATCGGAAATCGGAAATTCCAATTTTTTTTTTATATAATTCCAATCCAAAAAAATCGGAAAAAATCGGAAATCGGAATTTCGGAAATCGGAATGAAAAAAGTTGTTCCAAAATCGGAACTTTTCGGATCGGAACCGGCGGAAATCGGAATTTCCGTTCCAACTTGCACCCTTAGGTATATCTTTTACTACTAATTGTGAAAATATTTGCTGGGATTATTTTTATAAACGAGAAGGGGCTGGAGGAATTTTTTTTTTTTTTTTTAACTCACACCACTAACATAAATGTATTGAAAAGTAAAATTACCATAATTGATTACATAATTTTTTTTTTACTAATTCCAGTAAAAGACCAAACATTCAGTTTATTTGGTGAGAACAATTTTGGTAGAAATTTATATTGTTCACAGAAAAAAAAAAAAAAAAAAAAGGAAAAAAAAAAATTCTAGTCATTTCTTATGCGCTATTCTTTTTTTTTTTTTTTTTTTTTTGTCATTTAAAAATACAAGTATTAAGAGAAGAAATTATCCTTGTAAGTTATAATAATTCAATAAGAGAATGGATTGTAATGATTTATTGTGTTTCAAACGTTCAAAAATTCATATTCAGCCAAACATTAACTAGTGAATCTACGAAGCTCCCTTTGTCATATCACTGCAAAACAGAGCAGCTCATTAAAACATTTGGATTCAAAAAAGGAACAAATTATCAACCAAAATGATTAGGTTTTTAAGCATTTAGAGAATCATCCATTCATTCATCCTTCACATAATAATAAATGAGGATTAATCAAATACAACACCACCATATCCAAAAGCACATTTTATACTATCACTTTTTTTCTTTCTTTTTTATCAAAGGAACCTGTAGCCACATACGTGTACTCGCTAAACCCTACTCTCGTACATACAATCATAATCAAATTTACTAGTTTATATAAATCAGCTACGAAACAGAAACTGATCCTTGCATCTGAAGGTATGAATCCTGTCGGGGCAAGAATAAATTTTTGTATCGAAAATTATAAATGGCAATGCAAAATAAGCAAGACAAATAAAAATCTAGATAACGTTAAACTTTGGAGTCACTAAATTCGATACCCAATGACTCGAAGTATTGAGTATTCGTATTTATCGGAGGAGCTAATTCATCCAATAATTCTAAATGAATATCTGTAGTGTCAATAACGAGTCTGCATGGTACCACCACATTCTGATCATCATCACCAATCACGAGCGAACAATTTTCATAAAGACCTTCTTTTGGTGCAAGATTCAACAAACACGACCTAGGTACCAATAACCTCTTTCTCTCTCTAAAAACATTTTCACTGTTTTTAACCCTTACTATAAGGCGATGATGGCGTCCCAAAAGCTCCGTCACGTATTTCATATCACCTTTGGCAAGTGCATGACGAACTCGAGTGGATGACACCTGTCCTTTCTCGTGTGAATTGCTAGAAAATGTTTCGTTCACAGATTCTTGGTTATTGTCCATGACTGAATTTATTATAGAAGCTCTCATGCCATACTCGTTGCACAGTCGTACCAGGTCAGATGCATCACCTGCAGCTCTGTATCCAAATCGGTAATTTTGACCTGCCATATATTATTATAAATCAAGCTTAGTTAGTAGTAATTAATTTTCACCGTAATAAACTTGATAAAATCTTGGAGAAAAATAATACCCGCCACAACACCAGCAACTCCAAGTTCCTCGGCTAACTTCTCGACAAATTGCTGTGGACTAAGACTTCGAACTTTAGAAAAATCGATCTGGAACTCCTTAGGTACAATATTACCACAAAGTGGGGCCCACGATGAGAGAACCCTCTTCCGATCGCATTTGGCAACTATTGGAGCCCTGTGTTCAAAATTAATGAACGAGGTCTGTCATTACTTTGTTTCCCACTTATCACAGGCTATAATAAGATTTATAAAAAAGTTTTAGATAATATTAGAAAGTCAAAATAGAACTATAAGCCACTGCAGCATGGAAATCCAAAGACTTCTCAAGCTCTTTTATGATTTCAATAAACATAACCATAATTTGAAGGAATCGTTTTAACATAATCTTCAAATATCATATAAGTTGGTCGAGTTAACTATATACTCGTGTCCATCAAATGATAAGAGTTCAAACGTCTCCTACTAACTAACCAAAGCATCTGACCTGGACTGTGTATAATCATCAGCAAATCCTATTCAACAAATATTAACATACATTTATTAAAATATGATGCAGCTCGACTTGCATAACCCACAACCAAAATGAATAAAAACCGACTTTCGGGACACACAAAGCCCTGAATCCTGAATCCTTTTTATTTCTTTTTTAAGTCTACACCGTTACAGAATTTATATAACAAGATCATTAGGGCCAAACACAATTCAGGGAAGCCAGAACACTATAAGAATACTTGGACGATGCCTCCAACAAATTTTGTGTAACCCAGCTATAGAAACTAAAGCAAAACAAACGCATAAATTTCAATTGATTCAAAATTAACTTATCTGCAGAAATTGCCACTAGCAAGATAGTTTCGTACAATAGCATGGATCTTTTATACACCATTTCAATTTTAATTATTTACCAAATTTCTGAAATGTTATTAACATTTCAATATTCTTTCTTAGAATGCTTGGTCTTATCTGTTTCGGTTCCCTACGGCTTGAATATTTTACTTGAAAACATTTATGCAATAGTAGTATAATGAAACTGAATATAACGCAACAAAACTTTGTTTATTATACTTATCTGAAAGTGCTATGTAGATTTTATAAGCACCCCATTCCATGAAGGTAATCTCCGACAAATGTAACAAAGACAATGTTTTTAACTGTGTCATTAAATCATTTTCAGTTCCATTTAGGTACTTTCTAAAATGTTCATGCACATTTTCTGGAGAAATCATAATTGCTAAATAAATCAGTCAATATCTATCGGATTGAAAAGAAGTTCTGCAAGAGCGTCTCAACATTGTAATTCAACTGACAATACAAATATTTTGATCCCGAGAACAAAAACAGACAGAGATACGAATATCCTAAATGTAAAAAAAATGAGTATTTTATGTGCTATTAATATTCTGATTTCCGATTGTTATAGGTTAAGAAGAAAGAGGTGAATTACCTAGGTTCCCACCCAAGTATCTCTGCCATTCCAACAAATGACAAAAGAAATGGAACTCCAATCTTTGCCGCTTGGATTGCAAGTTCCCGATGACCGATATGAAGGGCATCAAACTTTCCCAATGCTACTATTCCCCCTGTTACAATGAATAACTAATGGAAATCATCAATCCATTACTAATTAACAAATTTAATTACCTCACTGTAAATTGGTCTATATGACTTCTAAGAAATTAATTAAAGTTAACATTTTGATACATAGAAAAAACTGGACAAAGATATCAATGCAATTTAAATCATAGTGCTCCAAAATTCTAATCAAATCCAGCAAAACTACTTTCAATCAAAAGATTATAATTAGTTGTCAAGTGTGCATATATATATGTACACATATAAGTTAAAGATTGATTGGAACAAAATTGAAAAATAAGATATGGTATATAATATATTCATATGTGCATAAAGTAAGACGGACTTGATTGTGATACCGGTACAAATAAAACGGTCCCTTAAGTTACTAGCAACATGTTATATTCCATGAAATATTTTTTTGAACTTTGAAGAAGAATCATTTGTCAAATACTTAATTTTCTTATCCGTGTCAACTGGAAAAGAGTGCAGGAATGATAATACATTATACAAGAAAGAAAAAGTCTCAAACCAGGCCAAATGACCACTTAATAATTAAGAAAACGAAATATATTGATTGCATTCATGCAGCTTTAAATCATCTTTTTAATGGTGGAAATGATGAGCCAGCACATACTGAGAGAACAATTTCGCCAGTACAATTCTTACAAAGAAGTGGAGAAGATAATTTAATTATCCATTAAAACTAAACTGGAGTTACAGGAAATATGGATGCATCCGCTATGCTTTGGTACAAAACTTGTATATTAGAGAGGGAAAACACTAAAAAGTAAAAATGTGTTCTTTTTCTTCTTTTGCTTGGTTTGAAAGTAATACACAAAGAAGCTATCTGAAAAGAAATACAACTACTCCCTGAAATAGATTTGATGCTTCATTTGGTGGTGGTACCAAACAAAGTTGTTCAATTGCATAAATTTGTGTTTGGCAAAGTTGTTACCAAGATTGAATGGACAAATTAACAATCACTAAATATTTATATTCACCATATGCTTGGGAATAAATAGATATAGCTTCTTCGAATACTAAAATGATTGACAAAACTAAAAAAGAAATCAAAATGTGTAAATACAACAACAGGTGAAAAGAGTGAATGTGAAAGCACTAGTAGTAAATAGTGTTGAAGAACCAACCTGCTACTGCTAATCCTTCAGAGAGAGAATTCTCATCATTTTCAGCTCGGCTATTCACACAAACAATAACAAAAAGCAAAGTGCATATCAAAACCAGTAAAAAACTTGAAAAACACAAAGTTCGTCAAAAGATGACACATAGCATATTAACCACAGAAGAATTGATGCTGAAATACAGCCATATATGATGTTACATTGAAATCCTATAACTAGAAATACATATTAATCGTTCAATTTCGACAACTCATATTAGATAAAAGGGCATCTTTATAGAGAAAAATGAGCCTCACAGGAATACTTGCAACAGATTAGTGGTGATATAATAACAAACCAAATTCAGTTGTTGGCAATATTTATATTCAATTTTGGGTGGATCTCATCTCAAGCAAATTATATAGCTTCTGGATTGAACAAGTTCATTACCAATAATTTATATGTACACAGTATCACTACCGTATACAAACAACTAAAAAGAGTTAAAATAGAGCCAAAAACAAGATGAAACATTTAGAAAGTTACCTCAACGAGTCAGATAAAATATCTTGAGTGCAAACTTCCTTGTTAATGGAAGAGACCAAATCTTCATTATTATTATTATTCGTAACAAACGACGACGAAGAAGAAGAAGAAGAAGAAGACGAATTCGTGCCCAATAAGTGGAATTTCGAAAACCGTTGGGGGGCAGAGGTGTAATTAAAGAGGAAAGGGAAAATACGAGGCGGCGGCTGAGGGGGGCGAACTCTGTTGTAGTAGAAACAACATTTAGTGTTGTTAGTGAGACTGCAAATCCCAAATTGGCGAGGATTGTATTCTCTCAATTGCTGCGAAATACGGCACCCATTCATCGTCATTGTTTCAAAGGGGGTTTTCAGTTTACAGCAAAAAGCTGCCCAATTTGAAGTAGAACACACCAATTTATTATTATTATTATTTTATTTTTTATTTTTTTTTACTGCAAAAGGCGAAATCCCTCTCCTGGGCTTATTATTATTATTATTATTATTATTATTATTATTATTATTATTATTATTATTATTATTATTATTATTATGGAGAGTGTTTTTTTTCCTTCCGGTGCTATACGGGTGAAATTATTTATTCCGATGTATGGTGAGATTTGTTCCGGTATAAAACTATTTATTTAATTTTCAAGTTTTTCTTCTTGTTTTTTCTCAATTTCAGTTACAAATGCAAATATGCAATGTTACTCAAATTTGCAAGGGGCTTGCTATGGGATAGACACGGGTTGGGTCTGCGTCTGGGTCAGACCCGCCGGGTCCTGGTCTAACTTTTAGGGAATTCGAAACCGACTCGTAGGGAGGCGAGTCCGGGGTGCTCAACCAAATCCATCTGGGTCTGGGTTGAATTCGGATCCAAACCGGTTTTTCAATTTTTTTTTGCTAAAGAATTACAAGAAAGAAAAGCTTTTCAATAAACTCCCTTGGGCTAATTCTTGTCATTTCAAAAATGAAAAGCTCCAATAAACTCACACGCTTTCTTTTCTTCCAATTCCTCATCTTTGAGCTTGTGAGGATCGTATGATACTCCCCTTTCTTTAAAAGGATTCGTCCTCGAATCTGGACAAATGTCACAAGGAGTATATAAAAACCACCTTTCACGATCATCTTCAAACAATTGTAGCTCATATGGTCTAAAATACTTCAAAGTTGATACATTCAACATTTCCCACTGAAGTATAACTAGTCGCATTAGTAGAACCTACTCCATCAATAATTAAACTCGAATATACACCTTCATGGCACTGAGTAGAAACAAGATAATCTTCGTATACTGCATCACCAACTTCATCAACATGCACAATTGGAGTTTGTACTCCGGTTAGGTCGGCATTAACTTCGATGCATGGTTGGGTTGTATATCCACCACCTCTTCAAAAAGATTCGCCCTCGAATCTGAACCTTCTTTTTCTTCCCCATCAAACTCAATCTCACGACTCTCATTTATTGTTTCTTCAACTAACACATCATCACTTCCTAAATTTGTTTGAGTATTCTCATTCTTCAAACCTTGACGAGTATCTTCCTTTTCAAGTGGCGATAAAGAATCACCCTCTCTCTTCAATTCCTCGTAGTCTCTTTCTTTAGTCTCATATGGAGGATTGAACATGGCCTCTCTTCGTATTGATTCCCTATCTCGGTTTGATGAAGAGCTCCACCGTGATTTTTGACTCGACGATCTCTTTTCTTCTAACTCATTGGCATGAAATGAACGAACTGCAGACTTAGATGATCTAGGATGATCAACCAACTCTCGCTCGTAATACCCATACTTCGTCTTGGTCGATCGAATTGAGCCCCTTGCCGCATATTAACATCTCTTGGTGTTGCAGCTGTCACACCATATCTTCCATCACCATATATCTCCTTATCACGATGAGGTATAACAGGCTGCTGATCATCACGTCGTACGTATGGCCCTCGAACATGTTGATCTTTGCGTAGTTCCTTTAGTTGGGTAATAAGTTCTTCCATCCGATCTTGGAGTTCATGGAAGCGTTTTTCCATTCGCGACATCCTACTATTAGAGTAGATGACCAACAATCCAACTTGTGGTTGTGGTCTTTCAATTTATTCTTGTAATAAATAATTTTTTTTCGTATTAACGATAAAACACCTTGGCATTCTATATCCTTGTCACTTGTTTAAACATAGATATAGTCCTTACATTTATTACAATTACTTGTAATTGATCTTTTAAGATCGTGAGATATTTATTTAAGTATTATAACTGTTAAACAGTGTTCCTAGTCGAAGGGTTACGCTACCAATGAGGCGGCCTTTCCCATTAAGAGACTAGCACTTAGTGTATGTGTACGACTAGTGGGAGACAAGTTAGAGGGCTTTACCGACTCTAGTTTTAAATTGGATGTGGACGACTCAAAGTCGAACTCGGGATTTATATTCACGCTTAATGGTGGTGCCGTGTGTTGAACGAGTTCCAAGTAAAGCACGACGTCCGATTCCACTACCGAAGCTGAGTATATTGTAGCGTCCGAAGCTGCAAAAGAATGGACTTGGATAAGGAAATTCATCCAAGAGTTGGATGTTATTCCTAATGCTAATGATCCAGTACCGTTGTACTGCGATAACATAGGAGCCGTGGCACAAGCTAAGGAGCCGAGATCTCATCAGAAGTCCAAGCATATTTTAGGAAGTATCATGTTATCCGAGAGATCATTGATAGAGGTGAAGTCAAAGTAGAACAAGTCACCTCAGAAGAGAACGTTGCAGACCCCTTCACGAAGCCTTTACCAAGGTCGGTTCACGAGAAACATCGAGAGTCGATGGGATTACGGTTTATGGGTAGTTGGCTTTAGGTAAACTGGGAGATTGTTAGAGTAGGTGACCAACAAGCCAACTTGTGGCTGTGGTCTTTCAAATTATTCTTGTATCATTTTTCGTATTAATGATAAAACACCTTGGCATTCTATATCTTTGTCCATTGTTTAAACATAGATATAGTACTTATAGTTATTACAATTACTTGTAATTGATCTTTTAGGATCGTGAGATATTTACTTAATAATTATAACTGTTAAACCGTGTTCCTAGTCGAAGGGTTACGCCACCAATGAGGATATCGACCTTTCCCATTAAAAGACTAACACTTAGTGTATGTGTACTGCGTCTCATCGGTAAATGGTATTGTGATATCGACATGCATAAGAGGGTGCTCGTAAGTTGACGAGTTCACTGAACTCCCTCATCATAGAAATCTCTAAGTGGTTCTCAATAAGCGAGTAGAGATCTCTATGGTATAGTTGTACACCATTAGTCCTTAAGACCTAGACATCACCGTGAATTCACTAGAGGACCAGCTGTATCGTGACTTGTCCCTCAGTTCCGTCGAGGACCGCCCCAAGGGCCAGTGTTCGTGCAGTCTGAAATCTAGTGGGAGGTCTGTGCATTGTAGTCGGGGATTCGATCGCTAGAATATTCTTGGATGTCCCGTGTGTTCTCATAGTTTGTAATCTTTAAGTCTCTGGCCAGAGCTGACTATGTGATGATTAGGGAATTGGATTCTCTAAATCATGCACATACAGATTACAACAATTATAACGACCGCACAGTTATTGAACTACAAAGGAGGATTCGATGAACAATGCCTCTAGTTCAATCGGGACATATGAATCGAAGGGATTGTACTGTACGTTAACTATATCACACGGTTCTTGCAGGCACTTCACTTGTATCTAGGGAATCATGATCCGTAGTTGCTAGATGCCAATCTTGATTCATTGGGTGATTAAGTTGAAACGAGCTTCATCTTAATTGTAACTCTAGTGACGAGTTTAAACCGCAAAGAGTTGTGGACCCACGGCTAGCTTACACCTGAACCATCGAGGGTCACACTGCTCGTCTCCAGTTCTTTGAATAGACGGTCAAAGATAAAAATGTTTAATCTTTGTATAATTGGAAGTCAATATGATTGAGTCCAATATTCGTAATTTGGAATTATGAATGAGAATAAGAAAATGAAAGAACTAAGCGAACATCTTAGTGAACTTTCTAAATTGGCAAGTTTCCAAATTTAGAAGGTCCACTGAATTAGGGTTTCCACTTTTAGAAATTGGAAATCAAGAATTGACATTCTTAATGACGAGGACGTTTAAATGATTTCGAAAATATAATTTTTATAATTTTCCGTTGAGTTGTGAGAAATGAGCGAAGAAAGACTAACGAACTTAAGTTGTTGGGCCCGATCCAACTTAAGTTCGTTAGGGCTTCTATATATACAAGACACTATAAATACAAGATTTATAGGTCTTGCACAAAATGACAACACACATACAAGAAACCTTAGCCGCTCTCACACACGGCCGCTGTCATCTCACCGCCGCCGTCGCCGCGTCACCGGAAATTGATGCCCCACACGCCGATACTCTTGGGTAGTCCTATTCCTTTTGTTTTATTCTACCGTTTTATTTAATTTTCGCGTGTCTAGTGCCAAGCATTTAGTAGAACTTGGTATACAAGGTGAAATCCAAGATGAGGAAGACAAAAGAGTCAAATCGCCGAGAAGCACTCTTGGAACAACCGCAGCACGCGCCCCTACGCGCCGCCCGAAGATAGCGCATGATTCACACGCGTCGCCGCTGCCTGCGCGTCCGTCGCCGCCGCTGCTTCCGACTGCATGGATTGGTTTCCGTGGCATTTTGCTTCAATCCGAGAATTTGCCTCACGCTTCAAGAGGTAATTTCCGGATCCATATTGTATTAGGTTTTAATTTAATTAGATTAAATTAAATGATGATATTCACAGTATGATTTTGCTTGAATGTTTTCGTGAAATTGTTTATGTATGAATGATGATTTCGCTTGAATGTTTTCGTGAAATTGTTTATGCATGAATTATGATTTACTGCGAGCATGCTACATGATTTAATTATCGAATTAATATGTATATCGAATTTTAATTTGTGCTTGAAGCATTAAGGTACGCAATTAATTGCTATTATCAAGCACATGTTTATGTGATTAAAATTGTTTTTCATATAAATTTTTTATTTCCGCTGCGTACACGTGCTCAATTCCCAACAAGTGGTATCAGAGCTCATTGCGTAATTAATTAATTGCGTTAATATATTTTGCTTATTTTAATGCATGTTCGATTTATTAAAATTGTGATTGTTGTATTATTTAGTTGGGTGTTTTCGAAAGTTTAAAATATTTTTTAAATATTGTTTAGAATTTTTCCAGTTTTAAAATTGTTTGTTTTAAATTGGAAAATCGGATCTGAAATTTAATTAAAATTGTTGATTTTAATTTTGTCTGGATCGAACCGGTCGGACCGGCCGGTTCGATGGTTCTTTTCGATCCAATTGTCCGAATCGACATGGATTCGGATCAGTCAGGCCGGTTCTTGGTCAGACTGACCCGACTTACTGATTCGGCCAGATGGGCCGGACTGAGCCGGACCGTTTCGGTCTGAGCCGGTAAGACCGGTCGGACCGGACCTGTTCACTGAAAACAAAAAAAAAAAATTATTTCAGATTTCTTAAAGTGAACTTAAAACAAATTGATTTTATTTTTTTGAAAATTATTTTCAATTAAACCCAATTATATAATTGATTCAACAATCATCTATTTTAGTAAATAGTGGTTATATTAATTAATTAATTTAAATTGTTAAATTGATTTTAATTAGTAGAACACATATATAATATTAATTATACTTCAACTTAATTATTAGTACCTCAATATTATTTGATTGATTTACGCTAATTGAAATCCTATAATTATTGTGAAAAACCCGATAATTAATTAATGTAATTAATTATATAGTTTATATAATTAATTACACAGCTGGTCCTCTAGCAAAGTTGCAGTGTTAGTATTAGGTCCTAAGAACTAACGATGTACAACTATAATCATAAAATATCTACTCGATTAACGAGAACCACTTAGAGATTATAGGACAAGGGAGTTCAGTGGACTCATCGGCTATGAGAACCCACTTATGTATGCCAATGTCAATATATTTGTAGGCTGTCTGATCAGACTAAATTCACATACACTAAGTGCTAGTCTCAAACGGGAACTGCCACTATCCTAATTATTGGCGCAACCCATCGACTAAGAACTTGTTTCATAGTTATCTTACTAAATGAATTATCTCATGATTCTCCTAGATCAATTCATAGTAATTTAATAATAACTATAAGGTCTATATCTTGCATAATAAAATTGGACAATAGATATAGCTTACCAAAAATAAAATTTCATTAATAACGAAATAGATTGTTTACAAGTAAAAATGAAAGACAACAACCACAAGTTGATTTGGTGATTACATACTCTAACAAAATTTGCAAACATGAAGCACTTATTTAGAACGTACAAGTCTCCACTAGATTTGTACCTAATCAGTTAAAGTCTGGTTCATAGCTTACGAAATGTTGTTTTGTTGTAATTTATATTTGTATTTGAATATCAGTTTACTTGGTATTTGAACTTGATTTTAAGTTTGATGTTACATTTGTATTTATTTGAGTCTTAAAAATGTTGATTTAAAAAGAAACCCTACAAAATTAGGTGATTTTGTGGTATTTTCCACGAAACATGGTTCGATGAGAGAATTAGGGGTGGGTTTGGTAGGGCTACCATACAAAACCCGCCGAATCACTACCATTACCGAACTTTCGGTATTATAAAATTCATTACCATTGCCCTGCCAAAAAGTTCGATATACCAAAAGTTCGGTACGGTAGGGTATGAGAATGATAATTACCAATTTATGTTATCTACTATTTAAGTCTAAATGGAATATCATTTTTTCAAAGCAATTCAAGGCATATATGTTTAAAATGTACAAAACTAGTTTTTTAAAAGATAAATATTCTAAATATATGTTCTTAACTTACCCAATATAAAATATTTCTTAACTAAAATTATAACATAAAATTTTTTAACATCAATTATATCATTATTAATGAAAGCAACTTAAAATAGTTTTGACATATCTAAAGAGTATAATCAATTTTAACTAATAGTAGTTAATTAGATACTATTTTAACTTTTTATATATGATAAATGAATTATTAAAATAAAATTTTATTTATTAATAATATTTCAGTACGGTAGGGAAATATACCATTTTAATTTGAGTGCCGTTGCCCTACCAAAACTTTTCTGTAGGGTACGGTAAGGTACGATAATAATTCGGTAGAAATATTTCGATAGAGAATCAGTATGGATCGGTAGGGCAATGGGTTGGTAGGACAATTTGGTAAAAAAAACCTACCCCTAAAGAGAATTGAGAGTTTTTTCCTTCAAAACCTATAAATGAAAACCTATAAATGAAATGAAATGAAATAGCACTGCAACCAGTAAACCCACTATCATTTCACTATTTAAAAAGGTCCGAATAGTGGGACTCCTTCACTATTTAAAAAGGTCCGAATAGTGGGACTCCTTCGACCCTACACTCGGTGATAAATACCGGGTGGATCTTCTGCTAACACGTGTCATTTTTGTTATTTTTCTAAGACCTCCAAAGGTAAACCCTAGCAGAGAATATATTATAAAATAAAATAATAACACACGGTAGTAGAAGACCCATCCAGTGTTTATCACCGAGTGTAGGGTCGAAAAATCGAATAGTGGTGCTATCTCTTACTTAATTACACCGTCATTCCCATATTAGTAATTACTAGTATTAATTATAATACTTAATGGTATTAATTGTCTTTATAGTCAAAAGGAAGAGCGGTAGAAATTACACCAACTTTGACAACTATTTTCTTTTATATCTTTCACATGATAAAATAAACATTAAATTATCATTTTCTCTTCAAATTACAACCTCACCTTCTCATAATAATACACATTCTTACCATTGCACAGTACAAACATCATGATTATATATTAACAGTTACAAAAAAAAAAAATGATTAGTGTTTTATGGAGAAAGATACTTATTTTTAATGAGACATAAAATACAATCAATTTTTAATTTTTTTTCAAAGTAGAATCAAATTTATTTCGTCACTATTTTTTTAAAATCATCTGATGCTGAAGCAACAGTCAACAACACCCCCACCCCACCCCACCCCACCCCACCCAACCGGCTAAATATTTAGATTTATTTAATTATTAATACAGATGGTATATATACTTACCTTTGAAAGCATCCATTAACAAAGCACCAAACTACCTAAAAAAAAAGAAAGAGGAATAGCCAAAACTAAAAGGCTATTACTCTTTGCTTTCTGCTCTCTCTCTCTCCTCTCTCTCTCTTCCAATATCCTTTCTTTCATCGCACAATATTATATACACTGCACTTGTCTCCTTTTTCTCTGTGTAATCAATCTCATCTTATATTATATACTACTGCATGCATTTTGATTTGTTGAAGGTGGCTGTTTTTTTTTTTGTTTTTTCTTCAACACACACATCTTATTATTATTTTAATTGATAATTATTATTCGTCACTCCATTAATTAATAATTGTCAAAATTGCTGTCTTTTTCATGACAATTGATCGATCGGACATCCTGCGAGTCTTCGGGGAAAAAACCCCAGTATCCTGACTTCTTCTGACAACATACAAAAACTCATTCAAGATTTCCTTTTTTTATTTGCCCCTTTAATTTTGTGGAAAAGGGATCCGTTGAAGCTTTATCATCATCATCAACTGGATTTGCAATTTCTGGAATTAATTCATTCGATTGCATTAACTTATGCGTGCGTTTCGTTTCTTTCTCCGCAAAATTCGATCAATTTTACCTCCGAATTAGCTGGAGTTATTTTTTTTTTTTGAGGAATTGAGGGTTTCAATTTGACGGTAATCGGCAAGTTGGGTTTAAGAATTTATTGATGTTGATTTGGTGATCGGCTGCTAGTGAAGAGTCTCTATGTTGTTTGGTATAACTATGGTCCCCTCCATTTAGTTCGCCTGCTAAATCTGTGGGGCCTTTGATTTTAACTCTGATTCCTTTTTCAAGATCAAAAGGGAAGGAGAAGAGCTTTCCTTTCGATCCGATTCATTGAATTCGAGAGAGGAGAGAAGGACCATTCTTTTGGTAAAAATGTCGCAAACGAAGGCCCGAAAACCGAGTTCCTTTCAGTCAATTAAATCGTTGCCTACGGATTTTAGGTTTATGGGTGGTGATCAAGATGGTGATGAAATGATGTTGTCTGATACCATACCGGAAAATGTTGAAGCTGAAGAATCGGATAATGATGAATCACCGTATTCTAGTTTGGATATTTCAGCCAAAGATGAGATTTCCTCTAATGGCGATAACAATGGTCATAATGATTTTAAGGATACTACTAATACTAATCCAGTTCGATCACCTAAAAAATCTCATGTTGACTCCAAGTGGGGTGACACCACACCATACGCGTCCAAGAAGGTACACGTTAAGTTCTCTGCATTGTTTTCTTTGTTATATATTTGTTCAACTTCTTCTGTTACATACTTTGTGATGCACTTGCTGCCTGATTACACACACCTGTATATTGTTCTTGATTGCTCCTGTTTTCTTTTTTTATTCTTTCATCTGATTTTGGATTGCAGTTATGTTTATTGCCTAATTGAATACTTCACGTTGTGTGGTCGAGTTCGCTGACCATATTCTTCTTTCTGTTTCTTGTTTTAAATTCCGAAATTAAGATGCAATCTTGCTGATTTTTTTTTCAAATTTATAAACCGGAAGTTGGATTCCGGTCAAGTTGTATTCATGTTAGCAGTTTGAGGTTTTAACATTAATCATGATAATAAAGAATTTATTAGGTAGGTAAGCGTTGCAATATTCCTCTATCTTATAGAATTACTAGCTGAAATTTGAAAAGTTCATCTTATATCCTTTATGGCATCTGTTTGATATTTTTGTGTTCAGAACTCTACATTGCATATGTAAAGAGATGCTATTAAGATATTAGATATGAATAAAGCGGTTGCATGAGAGAGGCCTGAACATTTGCTAATAATAAAGTGGATAATTGTAATATTATTTGTTTGTCAGAATTTGATTTTTCCATAAGTTCCAACAACGGGTAGGAATATTGTATTTTTGATGCTTTCGATCCTTGTATTGTGATCTTGAAGATTCAGAATGGTTCTAACATATTCCCGTTCATATACTTGTGTTTTTTAAAGCTAGATAATAATTATTTCAAAATCAAAATAACTTTTTATTGTTAAAACCGTGTTACACAAATGTAATCACCATTGAAGCGGCTCCTAAACTACTAAATTTGTTCTGCAGATAGTTCAGTCATGGGTTCAACTTCCCGATGGCAATTGGGAGCTGGGAACGACTATTCGGACTTTTGATAATGAGTCATTACTTGTATTGGACGAGGGAAAAGTGAGCATAAATGGTTTTTATTCTGTCATTATATATATTTTGGAAAATAAACTGTTAATATATGCGTATACTTCTCTAACCGTTTTCCACATCTAGGTTTTGAAAGTGAAAACAGAAACTCTGGTGCCTGCAAATCCTGATATACTTGTTGGTGTAGATGATCTTATGCAACTAAGTTACCTAAACGAACCTTCAGTATTGTACAATCTCCAGTATAGATATAATCAAGATATGATTTACGTAAGTAATCTTTCTTCATTCGTTGTCCTGATTTTCCGATGGTTTCTCACTTTTTTCCTGTTCATTTCAGACCAAAGCAGGGCCAGTTCTGGTTGCCATTAATCCGTTCAAGAAAGTCCCGTTATATGGAAATGATTATATTGAAGCTTATAAGCGAAAATCTGTACAGAATCCACATGTATATGCCATTACTGATACAGCCATGCGTGAAATGATTCGAGGTAATCCGACTCAATAACTTAATCATACAGACTAGACTCCACATGTAGTAATCTAACTCAATAATTTTGTTATTTGCAGATGAAGTAAATCAATCTATCATTATAAGGTCAGTTTAAAAACTAATTATATTGGTTTATTCGTTTAGCTGCTCATCCTTTTCTTCTGTATGCCAATCTTGTGAGGACAATATGGATGGATGCGTTGCATTATTTCATCGACGAAGTTGATTGAATTTCCTACACTTATTTAGGATGTCTACTGTCTCTGATTTCCTGTACAAGTCATTTTAGTCGCATGAAATTATGTCCTTGTTTAATTCTTAATGAGATTTTATAAGGCCTTCTAGGGTTATGTTTTTACTGAGAATTCTCATTTCAGAATTTCTATTGAGAAATTGGTTTTGTACTGATTTCGCTGAGAAATGAAATTGTGTTGGGATGAAGGAAATAAACAAGATTTATATAGAATTATTAGGAAACAATTGCCGCATGGAGTAACCACTTGATACCAGATGATATGTACTTCTGTTTTGATGTAACATTAAGCAATTTTTTTTTGTAATATACATTGAAATGAATGTTTGACTAAGTATGGATTCTGTTTATCTTACTTTATCAAGTGGGGAAAGTGGAGCTGGAAAAACCGAGACAGCAAAGATAGCCATGCAATATTTGGCTGCACTGGGAGGAGGTAGTGGGATAGAGTACGAGATACTGAAAACTAATCCAATTTTGGAAGCCTTTGGTAATGCCAAAACATTAAGAAACGACAACTCGAGTCGATTTGTAAGTTACTTGTTTTGAGAAATTAGTATTTTGTGGAAGTGAAATATACCTTAGCTTTTTGCTGCTTGTAAGTTCAACTAATGGGAACCATATATCTACAGGGAAAGCTGATTGAGATTCACTTTAGTGAAACTGGAAAAATATCGGGTGCAAAGATTCAAACTTGTGAGATTGCATCTACCATTATTATATTCTTATAAAATACTATTACATAATTTTTAAGAGTCGTCTAACTTATTTCTCTTGTGTTTCATCATGCAACACAACATGGTTTATGATTCCTTACAGTTTTACTGGAGAAGGTACATATTAATTTACTGTCAGTTGTATGGTTAAGATAATTTTCTGTGTGATGGAAAATACTGAATGAAGATGTATTTCGTGAACAGTCTAGAGTTGTTCAGTGTTCAGAGGGAGAAAGATCTTATCATGTCTTTTATCAACTTTGTGCTGGGGCTCCACCCACCCTTAGAGGTACAGCACTGCCATCAATCATCCTATATACTTCTAAAATATTTTGATTAATTAATTAATTACCTGTATTCTATTATCAAGTTCGTGGTTTCTTGGTTATAATATCAATCTCTCTCTCTCTCTCTCTCTCTCTCTCTCTCTCTCTCTCTCTCTCTCTCTCTCTCTCTCTCTCTCTCTCTCTCTCTCTCTCTCTCTCTCTCTCTCTCTCTCTCTCTCTCTCTCTCTCTCTCGTTTACTATTTTTCCAATGTCTTTTATGCAGAAAAACTACACTTGAAGAGTGCAGCTGAGTTCAAGTACTTGAGTCAAAGTAATTGTTATACAATATCCGGGGTTGATGATGCCGAACAGTTTCGTGTAGTAACGGTATTATTATGGATATCATCTAATCATTTTTTTCTTACATAAATTCAATCTTGAAACCAACATAAACATAGCTACATATGTTCTTGCTAAACCTAGGAAGCACTTGATATTGTTCATGTGAAGAAAGAAGATCAAGAGAGAGTATTTGCAATGTTAGCTGCTGTCCTATGGCTTGGAAACGTCTCCTTTACTGTTGTTGATGGTGAAAATCACGTTGAACCAGTCTTGGACGAAGGTCATTCAATAATTTGTATTTTTGTATTGATGTGGTTCGGCTAATATATAATTCTCTTTGCGGTGTTTTCAAATGATTTTTGGAAATATTGATACAGACTTAATATTGCTAAAATTTCCCTGCAAGGTGAATGATTTTTTGTATATATTCAGGTCTAACTAACGTTGCTACGTTGCTTGGGTGCAATGTTGAGGAATTAAAGCTAGCGTTGTCAACTCGAAAAATGAGAGTGGGAAAAAGAAACGATACAATTGTTCAAAAGCTGACACTAGCTCAGGTTAGACAGTTGGTTCATATAGGAATTGCTTTATTTTAGAAATAGTCATTAATAACTTTTGCTATCTAATTCTTCCAATATAATATTTCAGGCTGTTGATACTAGAGATGCGTTGGCAAAGTCAATTTATTCATGTTTGTTTGATTGGTTAGTGGAACAAATAAATAAATCATTGGCAGTAGGCAAAAGGCGAACTGGGAGGTCCATCAGTATTCTTGACATTTACGGTTTTGAATCATTTGAGGTTTGTACCTTTATCTATACTTCTACTTTTTACCGTTTCTCATCTGTTTATGTGACGGTGATTATTATTGTTTTTTTTTTTTTTTTTTTTTTTTAATCTTTTCAGAGGAATAGTTTTGAGCAGTTCTCCATCAATTATGCTAATGAAAGATTACAACAACACTTCAACCGTCACTTGTTCAAATTGGAGCAAGAGGTAATATTTCATGTCCTTACTCCTCTCATGAAATCTCATAATACTGCAAAAATCACAGTGCTTTGTTTTTCATTATTTTCTTCTATCTTCTCTTTTGGTTATACTAGTACCTAAATTTTGACGTCTTCGCTTTTTTTGTTATCCTAGTACCTAAATTTAAATTGGTTGCATTTTTATAATCATTCATGTTAAATGAGTTGCCCATCTGAAATTTAGTTCCGAGTTTTACAGAATTTTTAGAAGCATGTTATTAAATATTGACTTTGAAAAACCGAGTTTGAAGTTTTTGAAATTTGTTTAGGAGTACATTCAAGATGGCATTGATTGGGCAAAAGTTGATTTTGAAGACAACCAAGATTGTCTTAATCTCTTTGAGAAGGTATGCATGTTGTGTCAAATGATCTTCTGATGCAATTGACTTAGAACCTTAAAATTGATTTAATAATGCAGAAACCATTAGGGTTACAATCCTTGCTAGACGAGGAATCAACCTTTCCGAATGGCACAGATTTGAGCTTTGCCAATAAGCTGAAGCAACATCTCGATTCTAATCCTTGTTTTCGTGGAGAAAGAGGCAAAGCTTTTACTGTACGCCATTATGCAGGAGAGGTACTCAGTTTTATCTATCCCCTTTTATTTTATTTTATTGCACTTAAAATATTTTTTACTGTATGAAATATAATTTAATTGGTGATCTCAGGTTAGATATGAGACAACTGGTTTTCTCGAGAAGAATCGGGATTTGCTTCATGTGGATACCATTCAACTTCTTTCTTCATGTACGTGCCACCTTCCTCAGGCTTTTGCATCAAGTCTGCTCAATCAATCAGACAAGCCTGTAGTTGGTGCACTGCATAAATCTGGTGGTGCAGATTCACAGAAATTAAGCGTCACGACAAAATTCAAGGTTAAAAAAAACCGTCATAAAATCACTTGGTCTATTTTTTTCTCTTGTTTGATTGATGAGAACGATGGTTATAAAATATTGATACTATTACTGCTGGTGGTCAGGGTCAATTGTTCCTGTTAATGCAACGTCTTGAGAATACAACACCACATTTCATTCGTTGTATTAAGCCCAACAACTTCCAATCTCCTGGTACCTACAATCAAGGACTCGTACTTCAGCAGCTCCGTTGTTGTGGAGTTTTAGAAGTTGTTAGAATATCAAGATCCGGTTTTCCTACAAGAATGTCCCATCAAAAGTTTGCCAGAAGGTAAATACAAAAATAAATAAAATTATATTTAATATTTAGTTTTCATATCCATCTTCCATTTCTGATATCCGTTGTTATTCGTCAGGTATGGGTTCCTTCTATTAGATCATGTTGCATCTCAGGACCCACTCAGCGTTTCAGTGGCTATTCTTCATCAGTTTAACATTCTACCTGAGATGTATCAAGTTGGATACACTAAATTGTTTTTTCGAACTGGACAGGTATAAAATATTTGATCCGTTGACTTTTATTTTATGTCTGATCCAATACAAAAGGAACACCGCTTTGTGCAACCTAAAATGTCTTTAGAAAACATTAATCCGTCGACCCAAGTAAAATTCTTTTAATTATTTTGCAGACTCCTGTGTTTATTAATCTTGATATTCTGATTAGATCTACTAGTTTTTCTTCTAACATATTACTAAAAGGACCGATACTAGGAAAACCTGCCTTTTCTAGGCAGCTGAAAGTTGCTAGGCAAACATCGATGTAAATTACTGAGCAGACAGATCGATAATTTAAATTACAATTATAATTTTTGTTCAATTTAGCTAAATGCTGACCTGTCACTGTGACATTTTTTCCTTAGTCGTAGCTTTTCACGAGTTACGGATGGATCCACTACCTGGCTGTATTTTGTAAAAATAAAAATTTATTCAAACACGAAAAAGAGTGTCGAATTTATATATTTTTTCTTTTTCCATTTCGAAATATTTATCGTTCATGCTATACTTAAAAATCTTTGAGGACTGAGAGGTATGCACTAGAGAAAAATAAAATATTCTTCTCACTTCAAATGATGCATCTTGGGCTCTGTTTGTCATTGACTTTCCTTTTTCTTCACTAAAATTGAAGTTCCAATCATAAATCATCGTCTTATATAAATCACCATTTTTGTGTACCACGACTTATATAAGATTGGAGTACTTGAAGATACAAGAAATCACACACTGCATGGTATTCTGCGTGTGCAAAGTTGCTTTAGAGGCCATCAAGCTCGGTGCCACATAAAGGAGTTAAGGAGAGGGATTTCCACCCTACAGTCATGTATGCCTTTTACGGACACCTTGTTTTTTGACATTTATTTTTACCCTATTATCCCTCTGATACATATAACCTTTGTTAATGCAGTTATTCGTGCTGAGAAAACTAGGAAAGAGTACGCAATCTTATTACAGAGGCACAGAGCTGCTATATCTATCCAGACGCAAGTCAAAGCCAAGATTTTCAGGAAAAACCTCAAAAGATTAAGTGATGCATCAACAGTAGTACAATCAGGTAACTAACCACCTGTTTTATCGCATGATAAAGATGACACACTAGTGTTAAACTTTAAAATTTCTTTAGCATATTCTCAAGATATGTAAACAAACCTCTAGTTAGCCTGATTAAGTGGGTTTTTGTATCTAATTAAAGTTTTCACCTTAATTGCAAGCCAGCTGTAGTTCGAAGAATCCGTTTGTGGAAAAATGTTATGTTGGAAATTTGAAGTTTATGAAGCCGCCCTTGTCTAAATCTCATAACCTAAATTATCTTTATAATTTTCTTATTTTCTAGTTATTCGTGGCTGGTTGGTAAGAAGATGCTCAGGAGACATAGCACTGCTACAATTTGGTGGACGAATGGTACTCGAGGGTTTTACTTGAAATCATTTTCTCACATAAAATAAATAAATATATATATATATATATATATATATATATATATATATATATATATATATATATATATATATATATATATATATATAATTATAATAATATAATTATGTTTTGGATTATCAGGGTAATGAGACAGAAGAAGTGGTTGTCAAGTCATTATTCCTGGCAGAACTGCAGCGGCGTGTACTGAGAGCGGAAGCTGCACTGAGAGTGAAAGAAGAGGAGAACGATATACTTCACCAAAGGCTGCAACAGTACGACAATCGTTGGTCTGAATATGAGCTAAAAATGAAGTCGATGGAAGAGGTCTGGCAAAAGCAAATGAGATCTCTACAGTCGAGCCTTTCTATTGCAAAGAAGAGCCTTTCTTTTGATGATAATTCTCACCGAAACTCAGATGCCTCAGTAAATGGTAATAACGACGAAAGAGATTCTTCTTCTAGCTGGGACACAGGCGGGATTTTGAGAATTCATCAAAGTAGTAATGGAGGAAGATCAGCAGCTAGTCCTGGCTTGACTGTTATTAGTCGATTGGCTCAAGAGTTTGAGCAAAGGAGTCAGATATTTGGAGACGATGCAAAGTTCTTGGTTGAAGTTAAATCGGGTCAAACTGAGGCGAGTTTGGATCCAGATCGCGAACTTCGAAGGTTGAAACAAATGTTTGAAGGTTGGAAAAAAGATTACGGATCAAGACTTAGGGAAACTAAACTCATTCTCAATAAGCTTGGCAGTGAAAACGGGTCTTCAGCTGGTAAACCCAGAAATAAATGGTGGGGAAGGATGAATAGCTCAAGAATGAATTAACCATCCAACCAAATAAATGTGTGCATTATTATTAATCAAGAATAAATTAATAAATACTTTATTTACCGATTCTGTTATCTGTGCAGAGTTTGTATAACTCGTAAGGGTGTGTGTCTTGCGGCTAATTTATTGACCTGGATGGATATTATTAGAGTCTTGTGTAAAATGCTTGTGCAGAAGTTTGTTTGGTTAAAATGCTGTGCATTTGTGGCATTCCAAGTAAAACCATTTTCTCTTGGTCCAAATTCAGATGGTTTGTAAAGCTGTATCATATTATTATTTATTGTGAGATCATAACTAACTAAATATATATATTGTTTTCGTTTGCACAAGAATGTTTACTCCGAGTCACCTTATGTTTTGTGATCACCAACATCATTAATCTTGACAAAATATCTGTTGCAAAAGAGAAACGGGTTTGTCTGGAAATATACGGACCCCACCACGGCGTGCATTTCGCGTCATTGCTCGTCGACCTGCTTCAATTTGTCTAGATGTGATCCAAGCAGGTTCAAGTGCCTGAAGAGCATATTTACCGAAACAAATATGATTACCTCGATAAGATATTCCCTTCATTCTTCCTCGAGGAAGATTGTTTTGAAGTCAAATGATGTAACTGCAAGAGCATTGTTGTGGGGGGCTTCAGTCCACCCTAGCCCTCTGGAGTCACCCCTAGGTGGGAGGGTGCTATTAGGTCAATATTGCTATTCGCTTCGGGTTTAATTGTAGTCCATTTACAAGGCAATTTAAAAAAAACTAAAAAATAAATAAAATAAAGGTCGAAAGATAACGTGTGCTACCTCATTTTTTGGATGTTGAATACGATGAAACTTGTAATATATCCTGTCCATAATACTATAACGGGTAGTGAATATTAGTGCCCGATTTGAAAGCAACCACCTTGTGATCGAGACACCGAGACATTTGAAGATCTTATGATTATCTGAATGTATAAATCATAATAATGTTTATTTGCAAACACATTCTCTACTAATTTTAATGTACATAAAATCTCTATCACAAGCCGCCGACTCCAATTGGAATCAAGTTAAGTAAAAAATCTCTAAATCAAACATGTTTTCTAACATACACAAAAGTCAAAAGTATTTATAAACTTGATATCCTTGAATCTAACATGCATTAAATATCATATAAAGATAAATACATTAGTCTGAACAACTTAGTTAAAAAATATACGACTAAGAGACATGGTGATAATGAATGAAACGACGATCCATAAGAAATTTTACAAGTGAGAATAAAATATTGGAAAAATGCAATACTCAAAATAATAGAGCCATGTTTACTTCATTTTGGCCTTTTGTAAAGAAGCCTACATTATATTTTATGAATAGTATCACCCGCCTCACGTTTGTTTTATCCCCTTTTCGCCCTTTCTTTGCATACACGCACATAAAGAATCAATAAGGATACCGTTCGCGCTCTCTAATCACACCCCCATATATCTCTCTCGCATGTAAATCTGCAACACCCTCCATGAATCTTAGTTAAAAAATAAATGTTTTAGTGGACTTTCTTAAAAAAAATTCGTATTCAATTTGAACTTTGAGAAAACCAATTATTTAGAATTTATAAAAGTATTTCCCTTTAATTTAAATATAACCCACAAATCAAAGTTACGATTTTCATAAAGAATGCTACCTAAACATCATCGGGGTTTACAAAACACTTGTAAGACAGTGGAAGGAAAAATAAACTTGATTTAAATACACCCGTTTAATAGACTGGATTCCTACATCAGAGTAAAATGAAAATCTCCATTTTTGCATAAGACCTTTTTTACAGGCGAAAGTGAAAACATGATCTTTTACGAAATCCAGGTAAGACATGCAAGGCATCAAGGTTCGTGATTCTTCGAACTCCGTTCCGCTGCGCACTCTAATTACTTCGAGAACCTGAAAGGGAAAATTTGCATAAAGCGTGAGCCCAACCACTGGCTCAGTAAGAACTTTGGTCTGACGATACTCACGCCTCTCTCAACGTGTCACTCACGTCCTATAAGAGCCCTAAAGTCATCGTCTCTATATTCATTCGTGTAGGGATAAGCCTAAAGCTTCCACTATGTCCTCTATATTCAATTTATTCATTTAGACCAAGACAGTCGATCATATACGTGAAAGCACATAACATCACAAACGAATCCAGCATTTTCATTCTTCAAAACTAAGAACCACGATGCATGAATATTATCATAACACATAGTCGAACATATAGCTCTACATATAAACATATAATAGTGTTTACCTTATTCTTGATATATTGGACACACAATCCTCTTTCGTATTATACGGATATAAAATCCTTATATTGCTCACTGACATAAAGTCCCTTTAGTATCAATTTAACACTTTACGCATATAAATGCAATGCAACAGGATCCTTATCAGAACCCCAACGTGACCATCTAAACATCGGGTAATATACGACAACACACCAGTCATAAAAGCACATCATTTCCACATAAATCACTTTAATATGAACAAAGACCAAAATGCACGTGAATGCAATGCGTGTTAAAATTTCATTTTTCATTTTATCGGATCCGTGAAAGATTAATTTATGTACTCAGATAATAAACCTGTTACGAGCCTGTTTTCACTAATGGGAGCTACCCACACATTTCATCCTAGTTGGATACCGGCCCTCTATATCCGAGTTGTTTATTACCGAGCATTCCATTAATCTTCCAATTTTCAAAACACGTGTTATGCATGGACATGAACACTTAGACCATAATCTTATTACCGTTTAAACACCACAAATAACACACAAATATGTCACAATAAAATAACACAAAGATTATTAACCACATATTATCACATAGACTATAAATTACACATATGACACAAATACATACACGGCTGTACACACACACGACAGTGATATCCAATCAAGTGTAGCACAATAAACACAAATCATGTAAAGATTATTGTTTGTCCACACACATACACATATAGTTGTACACACCCACATATATATTTATAATAGTATAATTTATATTTACATAAACCATGGATCAGAGTTTTCACTCGATGGCCACGTAGGTTGCTATAGAGATATAATATAGCATAGTACACATATATAAGCCATGGATCGGGAATTATTCCTACGACCACGCAGACTAGGATATATAAACATATATATTCGTATTTAACATATATATAAAGAATGACATATAGTGTATACTATATAGCATTAACGAGTGTAATTAACCAATAAGTCCCCAATTAATCTCAATCGTTTCCAATACTTATACACATAGGGCACGCACGTAATGAATCTCAAACCAACATACCTAAATCAATCAAAACATATATATAGTAGCACATAATGACTTTAAATGAATACTTCATAACCATAACTATAGTTCATTCTATCCTATTAGCTTAATATTCGCTTAATTCTTCTATTAACTAAGGGTCAAGAATTTAAAACCATACTTCTAAACATATTTTCTAGTTCAAAATAATTCATCTTAGAAAATCTGACAGTTTCGGTATTTTAACTTTAAAAATTCATATCTCTTAGAACATACATCCAAACAACCTGAAAGTTTCACACAATGTTCAACTATAAGTATTTTCTACCTTGTTAAAACAGTTTAGCAAGAATTTTAGCCGTTTAAGAGAAATAATTAATTTTGTGGAGTGACACAGTCAAATTTTTCAGAACAAAGCAATCAACTTCAAAATTACAAAATAATTCATAACTTGAACCAAACACTGAAAATTTTCAAAGAAGACGTTTAATAAGTCTGTAATCATATCCAAGTAAATCACATAAATCAAATTAGTATAAAGTCGTATTAAACACATAATTCATAAATGACTCAGAAACTGTGCAGTTTCAGAAAATGATCCATAACTTACTCAATGTAAAACCGTTTTATGCATAATTTATATCAAAATGAAGCTAACACAAATTTCTAGACTATCGTAAAATTTCATAATTTGAGCAAAATAACTAACAAATTAAACATGTACTGCAAACAAAGACTACAAATCTGAAATTCAATTAGTGTTCGGAAAGATCTTTATCTTTTAGAGCCCAAAATTAAAACCACAATCATATAATTTATTAAAACACATATAATTTATATTAATTAGGTTATTATTCAAGTAAAGACCAAGAGGTCTTTACCCATGAAAATCAAAGGCTAAGGAAGAGAAGAAACCAAGGATCCATGGAGTTTTGGCTTGGAAGTCTTTGGGCTTGACATGGGTGTTATTGGAGGGTTTTGAAGCTGAGTCTTGAGAGATTATATGGTTGTTTCTTTGAGTATATTTGGGAATCTCTAATTTAGGGAGAGAAATGCATTTTGAGAGGATTTTAGAAGAGAAAAAGAGGAGCTTTTATGAAGAATCTTGAAGGTTTTGAAATGGAAGATGAATTCTTCTTTTTGGGGCTGTATTTGGACAAGGAGGAGAAAATGAGTGACTTTTTTTGCTGATGTTTTTATGCTGAAAATAGTGAAGAGAAAGGGCCAATTTATAAGGGAGTTTGAGGGACTTACTTGTAATATAGAAGACAAGAGGGTGTAGATTGTAATTAGAGAAACTAGGACACTTGTAAACACACAACAAACCCAACACACATAACCCATACACACGTCAATTCATAAATCACAAAGCACATGCACACACAAAACACCCCCCCCTCTCTCTCTCTCTCTCTCTCTCTCTCTCTATATATATATATATATATATATATATATATATATATATATATATATATATATATATATATATATATATATATATATATATATATAATATTAAAATAAGAGAATGAAGAATTTGGGAGGAAATTCTCCATGTACTTACCGAGAGAGAGAGTTATGGGCATGTATGTCCCATACATGTACATAAAATAAACATGCACATAAAACATACATACATATATACACATAATTTAATCCTCACATATATAATAAGCACATATAATATATCATAGTATCATATAATATGACATATAAACACACATACACATTATCATACATAATATAATTTAATATAGACTACACAAAATACACACACATATATATATATATATATATATATATATATATATATATATATATATATATATATATACTACAAAAAAAGATGTTTTAAATAACAAAACAAAGGTAACGATTGGATTATTTGTCACAATAAATGATTTCTTGTAACGAAAGCCGGATATTGTCACGCAAAACGCAATCTCTGGTAACGAAACAAAATATTTGTTACAAAAAGAGTATTTTCGTTACAAAAGGTCCAGTTTTCGGTAACAAGAAGCAAGCGTAGTTACATAAAATGAATAATCG